GCCGCACATACACATACACACGCATGCACGTCGTCATATGAGCGAAATATTCTCATGCACGACGTTAAACCCAATTCCACCATCACCACCTATGACTATAGTGTATACATACGATGGAATGTGATAAACAACTGTACATGGCCACAGAGTATATGACAAAAGATCAAGAGAAATTATTCCTATTGATGGAGGTGATAGCATATTCCTGTATTAATCTCTGATGAAAGATATATACAAAGCTATGGGACTAATGATTATCTTCCCATATTGCCCAGCAATACTTTATTGATTCCATAAGATGACTGTGGCATCCTGGATGTAAGATAGCCCAGCTTATGAACACTGGCGAAAGGGCAGCATTGTGGACTATACGTTGATACTATAAATCTACATTGTTTGGAGACATTTGGTATCTTAGGCTCTACATCTCGAAGTCTACACATGGAATTGGCTCAAAATATTACGGACTGAAATATTCAACTCAAAGAAGTTAATGATCAGCCGATTCTTTTATGTTTCTGTAGTCTAGGACTTAAAAGGTTATGTGGGCGACTGATATAGTTTATCTGTGGTGTGCGGTCCTGAGCATAGAGCTCAGGTGACAAATCAGTTGAATTTGAGCAACGTTGGGCGCGGAGAGTCCTTGGATGGGTGACCGTGTTCGGCAGGGAGTTTCTAGTCCTGCCCCCACTACGAAGCACCTGTGACACATGTGGCCTCACCTTAACCTTCTAACGCCCCACAGGTAGCTTGGGTTATCCGCGGTAATAATTAACTGTGTTTGCATGCGCTTTGAGCAGGCACTTGGTGTATGGAATTTATCGCTAGAGAAGTGCACATTATTATTATTATTATTATTATTATTATTATTATTATCTGTCATGGCATGAGTTAGTGAGTGAGTTTAGTTTTACGCCGCACCCAGCAATGTTCCAGCTATATGGCGTCGGTCTGTAAGTAATCGAGTCTGGACCAGACAATCCAGTGATCAACAGCATGAGCATCGATCTGCGCAATTGGGAACCGATGACATGTGTCAACCAAGTCAGCAAGCCTGACCAGTCATGGTGTGAAGTTCAGAACGTCAGGTTGTTTCTTGTCATGACAGATTAACTATCGTTTTATGAAAGACAGTGTTCCTAAATTTCATTTGTGTAATGTATATAGAACCATCCTTAGTTTGAAACAGACGAGTGCCTGATTTAAGTACTCGACAATGTGCTGATAAACATTCTTCCGGGGCCATCAACTTGAACCATATGGAAGTTCGGTTTAGCGAGGTTTCCCTGAACAGGAATCTCTCCGGATGTGGCGAACCATCAGGTCGTAATAAAGCCGGTATCCGATCCGTTAGGTTTATTTATTTGTTGTTTGACGACACACTTGGCAATAGCCTTGGTATGGAAATAGCAAGGTCTGGAACAAGCAAGCCAGTGATTGACATCATGAGTGTCGAACCAGGCATTTGGGATACGAAGACCAACCAAGTTAACGAGCATGGGCTGACCAGATAAAGGAACAAACAGTCCTGTACAAGAGACTGGGATGGTACTCTAAAAGATGTCAGGAAAAAGAGTGAAAATGTAAAGTTACCGTTTGCATCTACAGAGAGAAGAAACACCCGAACATAACTGTTTTGCTGATTTGTTTATTTTTATGTACATATAATGCAACAAGATATATTTTGGTGTCAGTTTGCATTTACTTGATCGGAGACAAACATTACCTCGAGTTCTGTCATCTAACACAACTATAGCGTCCGAGTTTTATCGTTGTAAACTCAACTGACATGTCCATCATGTGGCCCAAAATCAAATGAATAACAAAGAAACATTCTAATGATAAACAGTATAAACATCAGATATCATATCTCAGTCACGAGACGTCATCGTTGACAACTATTCATGTATATCACCGGTTGCATCGTCTATGGCAACGAAACAAACAAATATAATCTGTAAGCAAGATATCGCCATTCATCGATCTCCTTGTTATCTAAATCACCCGAACAAATACTGCCCACTACTATTAGAAGACAGATGGTGTTAATTGAATAATGATTACTTAGATAAAGTCAAACTCGTCAATAATTAAAACCGAATAATTTACATGGCAATGCTAAGGCCATAGGTGTTGATGGATATGTTTGGACACTCCATCCGCGATAACTTCCATGGTTTATCATCGACATGTAAAAAGCCAGACTAGACAGTCCTAACTGATCCCATTGTGGGTTTATCTAATCTCAAAGACTATTAACAGCGCGTCGGACGGAAAAATTTCCACCTTTGCCTACCGCCAGAACAGAGGTCTGCTGGATGTCTGGGAAAAACAGGTATCACGGCTAACAGAGATATCGGAGCTTTCTTGTTGTCTCGAACTGACAGTAAGCCGACGATATGCGAATTAGTGTAAGTCAGGTGACGGTGGTAGGTGACTGATGATAAAGCCCCAATTAGCGAGTAGACTATGCATGTTGCTAGAGAACGCAAGGTGTCTGTCTTTCAAGAACAGTTAAAGTCTCGCAGGTCATCGTATGTTTCCAGTTATTTCAGAGAATTTCAGAATAGCTGCTTCTCTGAACGTAGATTGGGCTTGTAGTAATAACAAATTGTCACTCAAGTAGGTAAATTACAAAGTCATTTTAATTATACTTCATAAACTCATTCACTCATTCTAACGTCAGAGTCGGTACCCGCATTGCATGTTTGAAAGTGGACCATTGTTCATAGCCACAAGATAGCAGCATCTTCATCCCATTTATACTTTAGTCTTATCTCCAGCTACAATCACATGGCATTTCCATTGAATACGTTCAGCACTGAATAGAACCAGATTCAATGGACCCTCGAAACGTCTTTGCAATATCCGAAAGTTCTTGAATTACATTCGCTGTATATCCGATCTTGTTAAAAGCGAAGTCGACTAACATCCTTCTAACGCACCATCATAGTCTCTCAATTTAGGAAACAGTTCTGTCGGCCATCGTTGTAAGACGGTCAACAATTATAGAACACGCAAACGACCTGACACTTCATTATAGTCATCATGACAATTTCCAGCAAATACATGCAAGCGCTAGAGAGCCCATACCACAAGGGTTAGGTTTCCAGGATGTTCCATCCATCAAGAGCTTCCCTGATATGTAGTGTAGCTTGGGTGTCAGAACTCGGAGTATATCCATTGACATTTGCTTTTTGAAAGTCTAGGGCATGTGAACCGTTGTAAATTATTATATTCCATAATGCATATAGCGTGTTTGGTACACAGCTATTGTAGAAATGAAATCAAATTGTACTTTTTATGTCTCGTCGGTATTGTAATTTCGAATCTACTCTCTACCTACTTATTTTCCCGGGTGATATTTTCACACTGTCGAAACGTAGAGATATTTTATCGTTGCCATAGCGAGAAACATATGCTACCAAAATGTTCGTATGGTGCTTAAATATTACATTAGGGTTCTCTCGATCATTGTGAGATGGACAATCGGTGTCCAGCGCTCCCCAAACAGATACACACATACGCTTATCCATAGTGTCACTTTCCCATTTTCTGGAGATTAAATATTAATGCACTTAAATTCATTCTAACGTCGAATGAAAATACAAGGGAGTGATTAATTTACAGGCCGCGAGCCGTTATTGAATTTGGGGTGAATCTATTCAATGCTTGGGGCTTTCTCCAATCAATTGGAGCTAAACTTTTCATGTGGATGTTAGCATAGGAAAGACATTTACTACTCTTTCCGTGAAACAAATTTACAAACTTGTTGACGCATGAAAATTGGAATTTATTGCTTGTGTAAAGAACATGCTCTGGGCGAGAGTTTTGATTTTTCAATCTTGTTTATGTTTCTTTTATCATAGCTGTCCGAGTTGACGGGGATATATTGGAGTTTAATAGTTTATTTAATCAATTCCTTCGATCAACTTGTCTTTATCAAATAGAGACATAAATGCGTTCAATTCAAAATTAGTTTGTCTTCTAAATTCGACCGTTCAATGTTAAAGCTGCTCGGGTTTTCATAATAGAGAGTTTCACTGAAGGGTGTACCTTCAGTCAATGATTGCTTCTATTTTGTAATGATTATCTATACCATGGTGTTCATGGTGTTCATGATCTGACAATTACATCAGTGTAAAAACACAAACAATTATCACAGGTTTCAGCTTCCTAAGTGTGAATTAGTGAGCGAATTACGTTTTACGCCGCTTTTAGCAATATTCCAGCAATATCACCGCAGCGGACACCAGAAATGGGCTTCACACATTGAATCCATGTGGGGAATCGAACCCGGGTCTTCAGCGTGACGAGCAAACGCTAATACCAATAGGCTACCCCACCACCCGCTTCCAAGGACGTTCCGTTTTCATCAACTATGAACACTATATCATTAATGAGTTTCACAACAATTAATATAATGTTTAGTAAAACACATTGATAGTTGTGAAAATGTATACTCATGGGCAAGAGTTCTTAATATGCTGTTTAAACAATATCTTTTTTTTTTTGCTGCAATGTACTTTGAAACACGTTCTATCTATTAAGAAATTGTCAGTTTGAAACAGCATTACTACATTACTACCATGACGGTGGTCGCTTGGTGTTATGGTCATTGTCCTTTTACACATCAGTAAACACTAAAGCTGAAATTAACAACATGCGAGCGATATCATCCATGTCCGATCTCTCCTCATCAAGATTTCATTTCCTAAATTAAACGTCCACATGCTTTCGACATAGTTATAATTGGGCATATTATCACCCAAAGGGAGAAACCCACAGCCGTGGCCAGTTGTGTGGCTCTGAATGTCCTTTCAATTCATGGATGTGAACGCCAGATTAAATAACAACTGCGGCGAATTTAGTGGGCAGATGTGGATTATATAAATCACACTTCAGCCCGTCCCTAGGGAACCTACCCCCAGATTCCACTAGTTTCCCCTTCCTCTGCCCCTATCAATAACAAACTAGCGGGAGAGATACATACGCCACGCAGAGCCGCACAGCTCCGCCTCACGAATCGATCGCTTCCGCGGAACTTGACGGACGGGAGCCGGCGTTTGAAATAGATACAAGGCTAACGCGCGTGTAAGCGCGCAGACTTACTGTTGTGAGAGTTAAGGGGGCCACATGTTTGTCTTTCATTTTCTGTACGATATGCCAAAGACGTAGGAGGACTATTTACAAACTCGGCTTCGTCCTCTGTTAGCATATTGCTAACCGTGGAACTATTTTGTGAAGGAAACTTTTGTCTTAATCCCCTGAAGTTTACACGAGGCCGAGCAGACGATACTAAGATGCAGAGCGAATTGATGTGAAATTTGTGACGGATTACCCTAACACCTCTCGTTATTGAAGTTATGAACAAGTCAACAAGGCGAGGCTTGAAACATGAGGGAACTTTTCCTTTTCTCCGCTTTGCTGCAATTAGGTAAGTCAATAGACGGTTATTCAATAAACTATTACCGCTTTGCTTAACCCCTTAAACGCTAACTATGGCATTGATCGTTAACATTTGTGCAGCCTTCTCGTAAAATGAAATTATAATTAATCGTGAATCGTTTTGATTCTATGTTCATCATCAATAGTTTGCAATATTCTCACGTTATAGATCTCAACTCCTATTAGCTATTACTTAAAGTAGAAATTAAATGCATTAACATTTCATGATTTTCTCCGACATTTCCAAAGGCCATTAAATAACAATGTTAATTGACAGGTGAGGAGAATAAGGATATAAAAAATCCCATAAACGTCTTCATTTTTAACATCAATTTCATGATGTAAGATTATTCCGTACACTTCCTCCATATGCCTTTGTGTTTAAGTGATATAAGGTTTAATTCCGTAACCTTGAACTTAATGGCGTGGAATATCTTCCTGACAATAATCCTGAAGACAAGTGTTATAGATTTGGACATGTTGCCATTCATTAAACCTTTACAAAATCGATATATCATACTGAAGTCTTAATACAAATGACAATTGCCCGTGCGAATGCAACTGCCAAGGCTATTAGTTCTCAAGATTGATAATATTCATCACAATCATATGGTTTGAACATCGTGGAATCCAGAAAGACGTTTCAATGGGATATTTGGGAATTTTTTCTTACAACAGATAAGACTTACTATTGAAATATAATCCAAAACTACTGAGAAATGACTGAAAACATCTTGACTGTTCTTATCATCAGACGTTATTTTCATACACGGTTAATTAGAAATGCCGATAAGACAGATTCCTGATAAAATGAAATGGACACAGAAGTATATTAATATATTGATTGCTAAAGCATTAAATTAACCGAGTTCGCTCTCCTCATGAAATAGACGTGAATGACACGATATCCAAAGTACATAAACGAGACGATGCCCACGTGTATGAAGGTTGCTGGTGTATATAACATGTTAATGCCTCAGTTACTGCAATATACATGAAACATATGCTGACATATACGCCGAAACCTGTCATTCACATGACATGTACACATGCGCATTACAGAGTGACTGCTATGAACATGACACATAGCTGCATGTATCATTAATCTTATCATTTCCATGAAATAGACGGGTTGACTGCAACGCAAGGCTACGTGTGTTTATAACATCTTCTGTATGATCGACAACCAATAGATTTGTAGAAACGTCTTACATAGATATAACTCTGTATCGATTATCGATTAATGGCCGTGTTGATCTTTACGTATAGGTGGTTTGAGGTGAAGGATTTATTCTTGCTATGGACAATTATCACCTCATATACACGTCTATATGAGCAATGTATAGGCTTTAGCACTGCATTTGTCAAATATATTGAAATTTAATTGTCTCACAGGACATACATATATGCAATACACAAAACTTTGTCGACATAGCTAATGTGAAAAACTTGTGGGAAATGTGATTTTATATCTTAAAATAAGTAACTTTTTAATATAGCGTGTGAAGTCAATTATAATCAGAGACGCAAATCTGTTAATCTGGTGACATAGCGATAGATTTAGAGAATAAAAGCTATAATCTCTCTCTCTCTCTCTCTCTCTCTCTCTTTTTATCTCTCTCTCTCTCTCTCTCTCTCTCTCTCTCGGTCTTTATCTCTCTCTCTCTCTCTCTCTCTCTCTCTCTCTCTCTCTCTCTCTCTCTCTCTCTCTCTCTCTCTCTCTCTCTCTCTCTCTCTCTCTCTCATGATATATTATAATGTAACAGACTAGAGTGTTGTGTATATAGCTTGATGAAAGACATTTCACAGAGGAAATATAACCAAAATGCCTAATAAGACATAGTTAAGTCGGGCATCCATTTCAATAAAGCGGCAATATATCATCATTTAAGCAAGGAGCGTGTAGCGCTTTATCGGTCACGTCGCATATTGTATTTCTCTTTCAAGCGTCTGGACGATCTGTTACTGGCCAGTGGTCAGCCTGTGTTCGTGACATGTAATCCTTGCTGTATTTAGCAGTATTGTTGTCCTAAGTGGACGACGGATCTTCAATTAAGTTGTCGTGCACAAGCGTGAAAAGTTCTAGTCAGCTCCGAATATATGTAATCAACGTGTCATTCAGGAACTTCTAACTTCTATACGTACAATTTTGTTCTCAGAAAGACATCAAGAACCTTTTCAGGGAGAAACCTTCCACCATTGAACTTCTGTGAATGTATGAACTTTCTGTAATTGTGTTCACTGAATATAAGAATATATTGCCTTGTAATAAAACGCATTTTTACGCAGACAAATGAGTTGGAATTCAGTCATACTCAACAAAGATGTTGTCTTTATTGTATATATTCGTATATCAATTCAACCTCAAACTGCCAAACTGCCAAATCACTAACGTCAGATGGCATTAGTGATTAAAATAGAAAAATGAAAATATATTTGCCACATTTGTCATTCAGGGTACTGTGTCACGTGACTAATACATTCTATAATGGAACTGTTAATAGCTTTACCACAAAACCGGCGACAGATTTGCCAGTGCAAAATGTCCTGTTTGTCTTTTAATTACCTATGCGATTGATTTAAAGACATCAACGTCAATATTTCAGCAGTGATATCGTGTTTAAACGAACATCCCTATTCCGACAATGCTCTGATGCTCATTTGCGTGATGTACATGGGCTCATCAAAAGACACTTAAAGTCTGTTTACCACACTCAGCCCATACTAACAAGAGCACTATGACTATCAAACGGTGAAGGTGTTCCTATGTACATACTCCACAACGCGGGGTTTCCATACCTTTCAAAACCCGAGGACTCGTGCCTCAGCTTCCGGCCATGCGAAAACAAAGATCTTCTATCAGAGAATGTTTAAGGACGCTACCTCGAAGCTTGAAATGAGGTATCTGACCTTGCTATCTCAAAATTCCTCCACTGACACAAGAATGTTTAATCTTTCCCCAAGAAAGATGTGGAAAAAAGTAGCTTAAGAGTAATATCTCTTTGTCAGTTAGATAAACATTGCTTGCTTTCAATTTACACCAAATGTTCTTCACGTGTGAGATAACCATGAGGTAATGGAACTCTTAAATGAAGGACATAGCCGTTTATAGTTTATGTAACCTAATTACAAATAAATGTTATCACATATATTGAACAGTTATGGTCAATATGCCTGAGTATGGTCTGATCAATCATGTTGACAATTCTGTATTGATTGTCAGACATGTTCATTGGTCATTAATGTCACTGTGAAAACAGACAATCAATCAATGCTGATTATTATAAGCTTGGACTGCGACTGTTATTAGCGTGCAGTGATTGCAACAATACCTTCAGAAAGACACCCGCTCAATGTTCAACAAAAGGTGTCTGGGCCGGAATTGGCAATAAACCGTTTTATGGAAACACACATAGGCAAGCTCGCAGGGGATGTAGCCATTACTCAAGCCTTCTCAAACATACAGAATGATCGCGATAAGGCTGGCATAAAATATATACTTATTGCTGCAACGATTTTGATTTTTTTAGCTCCCTGTTTAGTTAATCTGAGACATTCCAGCGTTTTAGCTCTCATACGTAAGGTGATAATTCAAATAACTACTGTATCGGGCCAAAGATAAGGGATTTTTTCTTGGCACCGGATTGCCCCAAAGAAGCAGCTCGAACTATGAAGTCAAGGTAGTAGAAAAATGTGATATCCCGATTTAGGTTCTCACTTTTCTTGCAACAAAAACTGAGTACAGAAGAAACATCGACCCCATTGCTTCGTGTTGACGCCGCTCATGCTGCGAGATGAAGGTTCAGGCACAAACGTTGGAATTAAACCAACGTTAACCTTCTACAAGCTGGGGTGAGATTCTAGATGGTATTTCAAGCAAGATTATGAATAAATGCAATATCTGCCAACCGGGATCAAAACACCTGTCTTGTGAATGAGACCACTATCTTTGGATGGGAACATCATGTGGAAAAATGAGGTATTTTTAACCTACATTAGGCCGAGAATATTCGATATCCATCCCAACATCTGTGAAAAATATATTAAGGTTGAGACTACTGTCAAGTATTGTTTTGGATTTTCAAGGCAGTTAATGCGAGTGTGAATTATTCATCGACCTGTGGCGGGTTAATATTTGTGTTGCTTGGTTCAACCGCTGCTTTAGATGGCATCATTAGTGTGATATATAACGAAGCCCTTTGGTTTTATGGGTTGTAATATGAAATATTATTATGAATTCATTAAGCTTTGATGTTGGAAAACCACTTTGGCAATGTGTTTCGTGTTCCAGTGTAGTGTTGATACGGATTTCAATGATAATGGAATGTGAGAGGCTGTTATATGGGCGAGATGTATTTCTGTTTGGTATCACATTGCCTGAGTGCAAACAATGACATCGTGTCACATGACCAATACACCTACCACGTGTTTCCCGACACCATGATATGCCAGCCCGTTCGACAAAGATCATTGGTACCAGAGTGTATGACAATGTATGTAATTGTTTAAGTTGATCACGAAACACTCTCTTATCTAAAAGCAATATGTTTCAATCTTAAGAAGCATTATCGTTTTAACACAATTACGCACCTGTTGTTTGGGTAGAATTGTAGAAATGTGCTCCTGGTATTTCTAATGTTTTGCTCGTTAGCGTTAGACCAGATTGGTTCTCGTTTTGTTTTGACTGAGGCTGATGTGACTGATGGAGGCTGCTCCAGTGATGAATAGGTTTCATCAATAGCGAGATGCTCTGTAGACAGGCTTCATACTTCCTCGCATGCCGGTGAGGACTTCATACATTGGTATATTTGTACAAACGCATATCGGACGTCTCCTGAAACAAAGGGAAAGGATTAACCAAGGATGAGACCTCTCCCTCCCCTCTCTCTCTCTCTCTCTTTCTCTCTCTCTTTCGCACCTCTATCTTTATGTATCTCGCTCTATCTGTCTATCTCTCTCTCGCTCTCTCTTTCTCTCTCTCTCTCTCTC